CGGAACCCAGCACAGTGCAATGCAGACGTAATAGAGCCACTTTTCAAAGCAGACATTCACTTTAAAAGAATTAAGCGTATTCAGTTCATGCTTTAGGGTTTCTGTTACAACTTATTTCTAGAATCCAGAGTATGAAAGCTATAATATGTTTGCTCACTATATTTTCTCCAACATGACCTCATCTTTCCTTCTTATGCAATGCCAATGTAGATAAAGATAAGCCCTGTGTGCTTTTTCTTTTCTACCAGTATGTGCTGGGAAAGAAATATAGCAATAATTATGGAATCAGGTGGCTGTGGCCACTTCTAATTGTTGCCAACTTTTTCAGGTCAAGTGCACAACTAGCACCCTGGTAAACTTGGGATTTATTCAGAGAACAGCTGCAGTGCATCATGTAGTTTGTACCCTGCTACTTTATTAGCAGCCTTTCCGGCCATCTGCGTAGTACAGACCAGCTTGGCAAGATCAGATGCCGGAGAACCCAGCGATGTATTCACTGCTCTGGTTACAATATTCCATGTTGTTTTTTCAAATATTACCAAGTGTAAAGGAGACATATGGTATCAATGGGAGGGCTGTCATAGGAGAATCCCGGAAACAACATGAAACCTGTACATCCTCTTAACTGGCTGGCATCAGTGACTCAGTGAAACTGGTATTCCACTGTGAAAACTGCTAAGATGTCATCCTAACATAAGGGCATGAATACTGGCACTCAAACGGTCTGTGTGCACACACTGTAGGTGGCACAACCAGGGCTCTGACCTTCTGTACCTAGCAGCAAGCTACTGCTAGCGACTTCTCACAGCCATGCTCACTTGCTTGTAAACAGGGCATCAGGATTAAGAGTCGGGGCTCTCTGAAAGCAGCAAGTACCTAAGGGGCAAGTCCATTTTTGCTGAATAGATCAGGAAATCTTGTACCGTGGATTTCCATATATAAAGATATCATAACGCAGACAATTGCAGCATATGGACACAAGCCTGACAAAATGTCTCCATTTCAAAATGAACACATTACGGACAAATGTGACATTAAATTGTGGTGGAATTTAAAGATGGTAGAGACTTTCAGCAATTGTTGACAATTCGAACAATAAAAGGGTTCTTTGCAATGCGCTTCTAGCAGAATAATCAGCCTTTAGTTTAGCTATCTTTCAAAAATATTTGATAAAACTAATCTTTCATTTAACTTGGCTTGCAGTTAATTTTGACTTAATAAACTAATGTTAAATAATTAATATGCTGCACGTATAATGGTCAGAGTCAGTTCCATAGCAAAAAAGAGAAATTAAATGTACTAATGTACTGATTTTGAATAAAAGATCAGCAAAAAGTTGATTCTGAACAAGAACCCTGATTTTAAAGGCGTGAGAAAGTGGTTTATTAGCTGTAGATGCATGTTAATTGTATGAAATCTTCAATAAGCCCATTGCAAATTATGGATAGGTCACACAAGCAAGAATTAGTAAGCACATTAAGTAGCACAAGCAGCACAAGATAAATGCATATGTAAAAGGAACAAACAAAAAATGGTCATTCTAGGTTCAATTTCTCAATTTTCTTTAGAATAGGCTGAACATGCATTTTAATGTTGTCCATCAGGAACATATGTTTAAGAAGGTGACTTTTATTTTGTTTTCTGTAGAAACCTTCAAATAAGAATTACTGAAAGATGATTTGTGTTAACCCTGAAGGTATTTTACTTTCACGCACAAATCTTAGGGAAAAATACCATTATAGCAGGGTACTAAGGATATTTTAAAGAGAAACTATGTTAAAAATTTGCAGGTAAAGTAAAATTCTCAAGTTCAAGAATGGAACATGAATTGTTATTAAAGAAAAAGAAATGCAGTTCTATATCAATGGCAAGCGTAGTTGGTACGTCCACTCAGTATTTCATGCATATTTTTGGTGCTGTTAGTACACAGTGATTGTGTACAAACTCTGCTATCATCAACATACTATTTAAAAAATGTGGTTAATTCAGTTAACTTACAGTTTTATGATAGACAAGTTACAAAAGCATGCAGTCTCATCAGGAAACATGGTAACATTTTGCACACTTATCCTAATAAACCTAATTTTATTTTTATAACTTTCACCCTCAGAGATTGTAAATTGCAAGTCACATATAAACAGGAGTTATTGCATAATGCTCAAACGTTGAGTGGTATAAAACCCAAGATATATATATATAAAAAAAAATCAGCTTAAGAATAACTGTGCCTCAGTTGGCTTGCTATATTATTCTAATGTAAATTTTCACGTACCAAATGAAAAAAAAAAAATCTGAACCATCACAGCAGTCCCCGAAGGAAATACTGAATTTGGCCATCAGAAGTCACTCAAGATACTTGTTCCTAAACCACTATTTATAGAAAAGCAAATCAAACAAAACCCCAAAACTTAGCTAAGTTGCTATCCTGAGTCCAGCTCTTAACTGCTGCTATTTGCATCTGAAGTCTGGAAAAATCACAGGGCTTATTTTCATATTTGGAGTCTGTGACAGGTTTGCTAGCAGTTCAAAACTACGCCGTGATTTGTTACATGAAGTAGTATTTTAAAACAAAGCAGAAAACCCCAAAACACTAAGACTCCTTTTTGGGTGCTAAATCCAGTCAATCTATATTCTTAACTTTACAGGTCTCCAGTGTCCTCACCCACTAGACAAGTTCAAGTGTAAATTTCTTTGGAAATAACCCCCTCTGATATCATAACGGTCACAAATATTCATATTCTTAATTACCTTGTAAGCCTGATTTTATGAACTTAAAGACACGGCCATTTAAAATAAACTACTGTAATTAGTGGTGCCCCGATAAAGATTTCATGGGCCGATACCGATGGCCAATTATAAATGAGCCATATGGACCAACATCAATCTGACTGCTGATATGCAGCCCGGTCTGGTTGGTAAGAGTGTTGGGGGGGAGGGGCAGATCAAGAGACCTGCAGTGAGGGAAGCAGTGGGGCAGGGGCAGGTGGTGCTCATCCAGGGTGAGGCTGGGCACAGGATGGAAGTGTGAGAGGCTTGTCCGGGGAACACAGGGGGGCACTGCACGCACCCCCAGGGAAGGCATGGGGGGCACGTGCTATCTGGATCTGTGCGTGGGGCAAGCTGCCACTGTGGGCTGGGACCAGGGGTGTCACTGGGCTCTTCCCGGTGGGGGTGGTGTTGGGCAGGAGCTGCATGCAGTGGTGCTTGGGGAGGGGGGGCCACACCCACCCTAAAATTCACTGTAGCCCCACCACACCCCGGCAGCCCCCTCACAGTGCTGCTGCTACCCAGCCTCAGTGTATCCCCAGCCCAACCCCGCTGCAGGAAAGAGCCAGGCGCCGCCCCCAGCCCAGAGTGGCAGTCCACCCTCACCGCACACACAGATCCAGAAGACACATGCCCCCAATGGCACCCCGGGGGTGCGCACACAGGTGAGGCCCCCCCCGGCTCCCGGACTGCCTCAGCTGGGCAGTGACTGCCCCTGCCCCAGCCTGTTGCCTTCCCTCATCACAGGGGCCTCCCATCTGCCCCACTATGCCCCTTCCCTCCCCACTAACAAACTTACCAGCCAGATGCTGCTTTGCAAGCTGGCAGGCTGGCTGTGTGCATGCTGTGACTGCGCGCATGCACGCAGCATTTATTGGCAACATTACCAGCCACATCAGCCAAAACAAACTGAGTGCTGATAACGTCAATTTTCCTTTTACCGGTGCCGATGCAATGTGGACCAGTGCATCGGTGCACCTTTAATAATAATATTTGGAGATCTACAGCAGTGACCAGCTCTGTACATTGCAGCAATAATTATCTCTACCTCTACAATTTATAAAAGTTAAGCTAATTTTACTTCCAAAAGAATTCTAAGAAACCTTATTGCTAAAATGTCAATACTTTAGTACAGTTTAGATAACTTCTTAAACTGAAAATGTATGGTAGTGCTTCTTAATAATGTCTCAATAATTACAGGAGCCGATCAGAAACATATCTGCTACAACTCTTATTTCAGGGATTTTATTTGGTTGTGAAACTTAATGCAGGGCTCAACAATAATCAAAACGATTGCAGAAAATAACATTAAAATCTGGAAAAAATGTGGCTATATTCAAATATTGACAAAGAAAGGCCTGATATATCCTTAATTCTCTAAAGCTTTTAGGTTACTAGTTTTTAACAAAATAAAGTTGCATTCTGTCTTGATTAATGAATAAATAATAACACAGCATTTAATAGTGAAGGCTCCTATTTAGAATGTTAATTCCTTGTTTTCTGTATTTTTTTCTAAAATGGTTTTGGATGGCTATACAGATATGCATGTTAGAATTCTTATCTTTTTAGCATCTGCAGCTATTTAGGAAACTTAAAAGTTTCCTAAATATGACTTTGGTGTGAATTTTTGCTATTTTGTCAGAAAAACTGCAGTTTTTAACTTACATAAACTACCTCTCATCTTCTAATATATTAGTAACAAAATCCATAAGCTAACCACGGGCTACACGTGAGAATTTTCCCAGATAACTCTTTTGGAAACTCAATTTGAAGGTTTATCATCATATATACCTGAACAAGACGGTTATTTGAGACTTCTGCATTATTAAATAAAAAAGTACTCTGCTTAATAAAAATATCTATTATTTTTAAATATTCCTGGGCTTTGACTCTTAAAGGCCAATACTTTTCAAACAATGTACTTATTTGCTGGAACTAACCTATCACTACACAATACCATTTATGGTTCCCTATTCAGTATATTATTGGCAACAAGACTCACTTCTGAACCTGTTTTTCAGATACACTTGGGGGCATTACTGCAATAATGAATCAAACTTGTTCATAAAAACTAGCATTTGTTAAAGTATAATTTTTAGGGTAAAACTGGTGTTTTTGAAAAATTTTAGCTTTTGTCATTAAAACTGAATAAAATTCAAATGATATACATAAAACACTGAAAAATGTTACCATTCACATTAATGGAAAAAAGAACTAACATTTCATAAACTCACCCCTTTGTCTCCTCTTGTTTTGGAATTAAATTTTACTGTCTTTAAGCGGGCTCGTTCTTTTTTCTCAACTCTGCCAGAAAAAAGTGCAGAAGGAAAAAAAGCGTTACTCTGCATTTTATGCAAACTTCCTACTGCCATTCCTAACACTATGAAAGATCCATGAGTTTCCTACAACAATCTGCCACAGACACGGTTTCAGGGCCATGTGATAAGGTGTGTATGCACATGTATTCAGAAAAATTGTAGAAAAATCAGTTTTTATTCTTCAAAAGCAAACTACAGGTTGCAACTTACACAGGTCCAATAAGAAAAGAGATTAATTGGCATCCTGTTTTTTGTGCAGCCACAACTTTGTTAAAATAGCCTTCAGTTTAAACCAAGATAATGCCTAAAAGGCACTTTTGTCCAGGGAGAGACAAGGATGGGAAAACAACAGCTTTCTTGAGCTGTCATCATCCCCCACTGTCTCCTTGAGACCCATCAATGAGGTGAGGTAGAGATCATCCACTAATTGTCCCCCATCCACTTATGTTGCCCAAGGCTGGGGACAGAAGTTACTGGTTTAAGTCATAAGAAACTGGTTTAAAACCATAACAGAACGTAAGTTCAGTGCACGTAAACCAGTTTCAAAATGGTTGAAGCCAGTTTGAGATAAACTTGGTTTAATGTAGTATCAGACTTAACCGACTGAGGTCAAACCGGTTTCTGGAACTTGTGTCCCAGACCCTTTTCTGGTTTAAGTTAAATCAGGGTCCTCCAGCACGCTCTGCAGCCCTGGGCTGGCCTGTCTGTTCCAAACAAGCAGAGTTAGCCCCCCACCTCAGCCAGAGCACTGTCACTGCTCTGACTGGCTGAGAAAAGAGTGGCAGTGGGAAACTCTGCTTCAGACTGCTGCCCGGTCTGCCTGGTGAGGGGGCAGCAGCTCTCGCCAGGCATCCCCAGCCCTCCACCTTCTCCACTGCTCCAGCGGCAGGAGCAGGGCAAAGGCCAGACCCTGGTAGCCTGAGGAGAAGTGGGGTTTAATCCTCCCACTGCAGGGGGGAGGGAAGGGGGGCAACACAGGCACTGATAGGCTTTGCTTATGCACTTGGGGCTGTGGTGGCCAGACACCAGTAGCCTGGGGGGAAGGGCGGGGTGGGGGAGTTATATTCCCCCATTGCAGGCAGCAGTGGCGCAGGTACCAACTTGATGCCCTGGGCTGAGTCTCTCTGAGGAGCAGCCAGCCGGCTGCAGGGAGGGAGGGAGGGTGTGACCTGGCTGGAAGCTGGGGCTAGTTATACTGCCTCCCACTGTGGCAGTGCGGCCTGGGCTGGGGTGGCCCCTGGGGGCAGTTCCCACCACCTCTCACCTTCAGCCCTGCGCAGGGGCTGTGGTTTGCAGGCAGGCTGCAGCTGCAACGCAGCTCCCTGCCCCCTCCCTCTCCCAGAGGCAGCAGCAGAGCAAACTAGTGTGGCAGGCAGAGGTGAAGCATGTCACCTGCTACCTGCTCACAGCAGCACCGGGCACTCAGGGCAGGCTGCTGTGGGCCAGAGATGTAGGCGGCAGTGGGGGGAGCCAATGGATTGTAGCAGCCCAGTCCAGCCCGGCCCCATGGCCCAGGAGTGCAGCCCAGTCCAGCCCAGGGGCGTAGGCAGCAACTGGCCTGCAGAAGCCCGCCCCTCCCTCTCTCAGCAATGGTGGCGGAGAAAACCATCCCAGCAGTCAGAGGTGAGGCACCTGTCATCCACCACCTGCTCATGTAGGCGCTAG